GCAACAGAGTGTTACAGCGTATCTCTCTCAGAAAAGGAAGAGTTTTTCAGAGGATTTTAGCAGGTTTTTTTGTCTCAGCCTCTGCCCAACCTTGGTTTAAATAGCCAGGGCCGATCCGCGCATCGCGCGCCACTTGCCGACAGCCGACCAACGGGCGCGCAAGCCAAGGCGCCCACGTGCCTCGCCATCATGTCTGGCACACCTTTTGATGAATTGGGCACGCCTTTTGATGGCACGCATTTTGAAAGATTGGGCACACCTTTTGAGGGTGCGACTTTTACAACGGTCCGACATGACCCCATAAAATGTCCCGACATTTGATTCCGGTTAGCATCTCCAACGGTCCGACATGACCCATAAACTGTCCCGACATTGATTCCGGTTAGCTCCTTCATGGGTCCGACAAAACTCTGTAAACTGTCCCGACATTGATTCCGGTTAGTTTCTACAAGGGTCCAGCAAGACTCCGTAAACTGTCACAACAACTGTCACAACATTGTCTGCTACAACGGTCCGACATGACCCCATAAACTGTCTTCTACATCGGTCTGACACAACCATCCAGTGTCCTCTACAACGTTATGACACAACCATACAGTGTCCTTTACAACGTTATGACACCACCATACAGTGTCTTTATCGTCGGTCTGACACGACCATACAGTGTCTCCTATCCTCTTTTATTTTTATGTATTTTCTTATTTTGTTACTCTCTCCAAACTCAAGTTGGTTACGCAGCCTTTTCTTCACACCTCCTTTTCCGAATATCTCTCTAACCCGACTTCTAGGGTTTCCATATCGTAATGTAGGTTTGTTTCGCAGTTGGATGCTTCGTTGATTCAAAGATTTCATACTTGATTGTCCAGAAATCGAGAGACGCAGTTATGTCAGGTCCTCTTGATCGATTTGCGAGGCCTTGCTTTGAGGGATCCTCTGGTAATGATGAAAGAAGAGAAAGAAAATCTGATTTTGAAAACTCAGAGGATGAAAGAAGGACGAGGATCGGTTCACTGAATCGATGATCTTGAGGTTTGTGGGAGTGGCTGCATAAGCAGAACGGAGCGAGTGGAACAGTGCTTGAGCACTGTGATGGAAGTCATGCAGAAACAGTTGAGAGATGAGAGGTCCGGCGGGCGGCCAAGGCGAGGCTGCCGCCCGCCGGTGAAGCGAAAATACTAGGTTCTCAACCTTGCTCTGATACCATGTTAAAATAAATTGATGTATTATTGATTTATATATATTATTATGTTTACAATCCTATATATAGAAGATTAGAGGAGGTAGGTATATAGTAGGTGGAGTAGGTGAAGTGGGTAGAGTAGGTGTGGTGGTAGGTTTTGGTACATTTTAACAACATATATGTAACAGAGTGAACTAAAGCCCAATGAATAACATCAGAGTAAAGAGGTTACATGAATGAGTTCTATTTTAATTAACATAATAATTTTCATATCATATACAATTCATAACGAAATGACCTTGATGGATGTCCCAGACACCGGTGCAAAAGCCAAATGTCATCCTTGGTGGTTGGAGACTGGATGGTATGATGAGCCACGTGATCTGCCTGATCCAAGATGTAGAGACCATTCTCTACTCTACCACTGCCAATTGTCCTCCTTGTGATACGGTCCTGAAAAAAACAATGATCAGAAAAAAAAGAAAAAGAAAAAAAGAAAAAAAAAAGGTTATACTATAATTCAAATCCTGAGTAAGACAACTCAATGATAGAAGATTAACAGAGAAACTGAGAACATGTAAGACTGATGACAAACGTAAAGTAAAGAAGATGTGGCATGGATTAAATATTTTCTAGAAACAGAAGAAATGGTACCATCAGCAATCCTAACTTTGTCCTGACCTGAAGGGAGCTTATATTCCTAGAAAAGATCAAAAGATGTAGTCATATGATCCGAAACACCAGAATCAATAATCTAAGGCAAAGCTTTATGAGATAGGAAAGCACTTATAGAAGAGGCTAAGTTACCTGCATGGGCAAATGAAGAGAAAGATGCACCGGTAGGTGTTGTCGAAGTTCGACAGTCTAGCAAGTGACCCAAAGCATCTTCAAACTCAGAAGAAGACATACCAGCCACAACATCAGTAGACGGGACAGCTGGATTAGAGTCAAGCGTATTAATTGCACTAGAATGATGGGCGCGTGGATTAGACCCATGTCCTCTAGATTGTCCAGATCGACCCCCTCGACTACCAGAGCAGTCACCACGATCCCTAGATGGAGTACTATGAAGCTTCCAACATGTCTCACGAGTGTGTCTAGGCTGGCAACAGTAATTATAGAACACAGTATCATTCTTAGAAGGACTACGGGTACCACGCGACAGATGATCTCTATCTTTAGAAGGAGCAAAGACTAAGGCTGAGCGCTCTGTGGAGGCAGGAGGAAGTATAGTTGAGCGGCGACTCTCCTCATTCTGAACATAAGCAAACACTTCCTGAAGGAAAGAGAGAATATCTATACCAAGAACACAACTTCGAACAAGATCAAACTCCACATTGAGACCGTCCAAAAATTTGAAGACCCTGTCCTACCTAATAAACTTGTGGTACCCTACAGAATCAGTTAGGCAAACTGGTTTGTAATTCTGAAGATGATCTAGACGTTTCCAGCCATTACTGAGGAATGTATAGTACTGGAGGACAGTCATCTCACTCTATACTGAGCACTCAATTGAGCGACAGAACTCAAAGGTCTGTGAAAAATTCCCCTTCCAAGAATAAGTAGTAGCCACAACATCCCAAATGTCTTGAGCTATATCCATAGATAAGACCAGGTACAATTGAATGGATGAGTCACCCCATAATTAGAGAATTGATAATCTCCCATTGGTCATAACCAGGATCAGTGGTGTCAGGTGCTTTGATTCTCCCATCAACATATCCCATCTTCCCTCCACTCTTCAAGAAAAGGGTCAGACACTGTGACCAAGCAAGATAGTTCCGACCATTAAATAGAGAGGTGATGATTTTTAAGCTGGGATTGAGGTTTTCAAATGTAGTAGTCATATTGGGATGCTCCCTTTTTTTTTGTGGCTGGGAACTAGTGGTGGACTTGCTGGTAATTCAACCATCTTAGAATGCTACTATCTAAATAACAATCTGCAACAATCACTACTACTGGAAGAGGGAATGGAATGAATTGGGACAAGCAATATCAATCACCAACCATTATGGGAGCATAACAATTAGATTAATAGGGCCCTATATTGACCCAAAAAATAAATAAAATAGTGGAGGAAGTAAAACTTCAATCAAAACAGCAGTCCTGGGTCTCAATAAAAACAAAAAAAAAACTATAGCAATACAGAGAAGGAAAAAAAACGAGTTCAATCAGACCATGGGCTGAAAGAATGAGCCTCGTTGAAGCCGAAAGCCCCTTTGGTGAAATCGCAGGGCATTGTTGCAACCTCTGATGTCAAACCCAAGGCAAACCAGAGTCTAGGAGGTTGTGTCGAAGTCTAGAGAGACCCCAGAGGGCTGCAATGAAGGCTGGAGAAGACCCAAGGAGGCTTTGTTCACCCAACAGAGCATGTAGGACTGCCGACGGTCCTAGTTCTGGGTTGGATGCCCTTCAGCTTGAGTTGAAAAGGCTCAGAAAGGTGTCAACTTAAGCTGAAAAGGTCAAAGCGTTGGTCGGCTGAGCATGGGTGAATTCGGCAGACCTTCTGATTGTGATGGATGGTGGTTGGTTGGTGTCGGCTGGAGTGTGGGTGATAGGTTTTACAGTTTTGGCTTTGATACCATGTTTATTTTAGAAGAAATCAAACTTAGGGAATGATGAGACTGTTAAAATTGAATGTATAAAGAGAAATAGAGAATTGTATTATTGATTGATGTATGTTATTTTGATTATGTTTACAATGAGTCCTATATATAGAAGATTAGAGGAGGTAGGTATGTAGTAGGTGGAGTAGTAGGTGAAGTAGGTGAAGTGGGTGGAGTAGGTGTAGTGGTAGGTTTTAACAGAGACCATCACTCCCTTATCTATTATTAAACATGAAACACACAATAGAAGCCTCAAGGCACAAAAGAAAACTTCAACTAATGACAGCTAAGCAGAATAATAAATAATAACAAAAATATTATTCTAACAGATGTCATCAACAAACAGCATGTGGAACACAGACCACCTCTCGCCAACAACTCTCCCCACCTCAAACCACGAGAGCATGCTTCCACGAAGTTGATCAACCATGTGAGAGCCTCGATCACAATGATGAAATGAAAGGTGGTCATCTTGCCTCAAGCCTCTCAAGCTGAGAAAGAAACCATTCACCATAATAGAGAATCTGGTTATGGATATACAGAACTGAATCCAGGATCTCAACTTCTCGCCAAAACTCATCCTCTCCAGCAAATATTCCATTTAATACGCTTGTAAACCTTTTGTGTGTAAAACTTATAGATAACCCTGGATCTACACTACGTAGATGACAGTCAACTGCCACCAAAACTGCATCTAGAATCTCCTTGCCACCCCACAAAGGCATTTTGTGGATTTGAAACAACTTTCTCGACCACTCATCTCAATCAATTTGCTAGGATTTTTGCAATCAATTACTAGAGACAACCCACTAGACTGATAAGCTAGCTCAATCTCACCTCTCTCTTTTTTTCATACCTGGGATGATAATATTAGTTAGAGTATCGTTGGTGAGCGAAAGTACGAATGATTTTGGAGTCCAACAAAAGCTTAAATGGAAGATGGAAAATTGAAAATGGAAACAATTAGGCTAAGTGCGAAGAGACTGTTCTAATTAGTGATTAAATATTACTTACATCAGATATGCATGTATATAATAAAGTTTTAAAAGAAAAATAATTTCAGGTTGAGTGTGGGCTTTATATCAGCTCAGGTGTCATCTTAATAATAACATTATTCACAATGCGGAATATCATCATTTGTGTAATTTATTTTTTCCATGCTACAAATTTCAGTCAGAACTCAGAAAGAATTTGTGCTGATTTTGTTTTTTCAGGTTCCAGCAAGACCTAATTACAGCTTGGTTTTATACTATGCTTCTGACAGACCTGTAAATAAGGATTCTTTACTGGATAAATTTGTTAATGGATCTGATATGTTTCGTGATTCTAGATTTAAACTAATTCCAAGAATTGTTGAGGTAAAAATTGTTTTTCTTGAATAAAAACTGTGAGTAATATATCCAGCTTTCTTTATCATGCTTTCTGTGGTGTTGTAATAAATGTTTTCGGCAGGGATATTGGATGGTTAAGCGTGCAGTTGGAACAAAAGCTTGCTTATTAGGGAAAGCAGTTACGTGCAAATACCATAGACAAGACAATTTTCTGGAGGTAGGTGAAAAACTTCAATTCCAGCGTGCTTGAAATTTTGCTGCCTTCATATTAGATATGGTGATGATTAAGATACAGATATTATCTTGATGTCTAATATTGGAAGCGAAATGATATAGAAACAGAATTTTTGTACAAAATTTTCATGCAGAATGAGGTGGCTACTCGTCGTTCCTTTATTTTCAATCAAAACACCTATCATTGCCCTCATAATTTCACAAATTCCATTGGTACATCATTCTGGATGTGTTTTTGTATAAATATTTTCTGTTTGTAAATCATTTTCCATATTGGAATCACATCCAGTTAAATGTGAACTTAATGACAAGGCATCTTTTATTTAGTAGTGTACTTTGAAGGAGAGAACTGGTTGCTTGGTATTGGAGAATTTTCACCTCTTTTATGTCCCTTTCTCTTCCTCTCATTTTGATATTATTGATATGGAAACTGCATATTTTCTTTTTGGTTGGTGTCAGATCTTTTTTTTTTTTTGCCAAGGTAGTTGGTGTCAAATCAAGAGATTCAAAAGTATCACATCAAGTTTTTGCTTACATATTTTGCTATATTTGATGTCATTCTTAATATATGCCCATCTTCAGAGGTTCACTACCCGAATAATTTGACTACTTGGAATATTCGTGATGTGTGATTTTAAACCAAACCAAACCAAACTAAGTCTTGTATCACAATCAAGTGGGGTTGGCTATATAAATTATTTTTTGCCATTCAGCTCTGTCAGGAGATATATGTTTAGTTAAATTAAATAAATTCTTATTTTTTAATTACCACATCCCATGTCAGTTTAGGTCTTCTCCTTCCCCTAATATTTCCATTTATGGTAATCATATCACTCTTACCTACCGTTGCATCTGTAGGTTTTCATTGTAGATGATCAAACCAACTTAGTATGTTCTCTTTCAACTCATCTTTTTGCTTTTTGGCAAATTATATTTTCTACTGTTTGAATTAGGGTTTCTGAGCCCTGTTTTCTATTTAAATGATTTTATTCCATTACTTGGTGTATTTTTACATTTACTAAATTCACTTTTATTTTGTTATTAGTTTTTGGGTTTGAAAGAGAGTTTTAAGATATTTTATCTCTTAATTTGGTCAATTAACATTGATATCACTATTTCATTTCTTCCTCTTCTGGTCTAGTTTACATTCTACACCAAATTTTGTTTAAAAGTGCTGGAAATTTGGTAAATATGGAAAGTAAAGGCTGTATAGAATCAGGAAAAATAGGAAAGTAGAAGCTGTCAAATATTAGCTTTAATTAGTTTCCTTTTCTGTTGTAATTGCTCTCTTTATAAGAGAGAATCATGTTCTCATTCTTTAAGTGATTAAAAATATATTCCTTCGTCATATTTTTTGAGTAAAAGCTACTACCATTTTAATTCTCATTAGTTATTTATCTGTTTGTTACTCATGCTCTTTCAGCTTAATAAGATATTGCAAAAAACCTTCACTTTGCAGATTGATGTGGAAATTGGCTCATCATCCGTTGCAAGGAGTGTCATTAGTCTTGTACTTGGATATGTGCCCAGCATTGTTGTTGATCTTGCAATTTTAATAGAGGTTTGTGTTTGGCATTTCAATAGATGGGCCTTATTATCCTTAAGATGTGGACTTATGCTCTTCTTCTAGCATACAATTCAGTCTTTAATTTGGTCTTTGAGTTTTGGGAAATTCTATTTGCACACCACAAAAAATCTCAGTACACAACACACCATTTATGCCGTTCGGATATAAATTTCCCGAACAAAAGTCAAATGTTTGGACATAAACTTCCGAACAAAAAATAATTTTATATATCTGAACAATTATTTTTTGTTCGGAAGTTTATGTCCGAATATTTGACTTTTGTTCAAAGGTTTATATCCGAACAACACAAATGGTATGTACTGAGATTTTCTTTGGTGTGCCAACAGAATTACCCTCGAGAGTTTTTTTAGCTTAGCTTAGCTTGACAACTATGTGGTGCATGTTGTATACAAATACCTTCTGCCTCTTTGATGTTTTTTAGTTCCACCATGACATTGGACATTATGATTTTGGTGCCTTAATAAATGATATAGACAATCTCCTGGAAAAAGAAAAAACGAAGGAAAAGGTAAAGAAAAGTGCATAATGCAAAGAAAACACTCATTTCTTTGTTGTGAAAGATTAAAAATGAATGGTTTTATATTCGTGGTGTTAACACATGCAACTAGTGTGTGCTTCCTGATATTTATACATCATTTCCATAAATATATTTATTTTTCTACCTATTTTTAAAAAAATTCTTATGATGCACGATACAATACGAAATGCAATTAAAAAAATATAGAAAAATGATACACAATTCGTATACCTATTTGACAACTATCTTCTTCACTTATCGAACACTCAAATGGAATTAAATTTAGAATCTTATTACTAACGGAATTCTGGTAATGGCATTCTCATTTGTTGTCTTTAATTCCTGCCGTCCAAAGACAGCCTAAAGGCATGGCTTCTTAGTCTTAAAATACATAATAGAACTTATCAGTCTTCAGTTTGGAATAGTATGTCTTATTCATTCCTCCCAATTGTTAAGTTGCAAAAAATATTTACAAAAATTTATAGTTTTTTATTTTTGGGTTTGTGTGTGTGTAGAAATGATGTTTGTGATTTTCCATCTATGTGCTTGATTTCTATTGCTTTCAAATTCTTGTCTGAGAAAGCTTCCACATCATAAATAGCTAGATATTGACAGCAGCTGCATTTTTAGGCCAAAGAAGAGGAAGAACTCCCAGAGTACATTCTAGGAACTGTTCGTCTCAATCGTGTGAAGCTCGAATCAGCTGCACCTTTTACGGTTTGAGATTTTGATATGTCAACATGCTTTAATCATCATATTTTCCAAAAGTAATGGCGTTGTTGTAACTGCTGCATTCTGAGGATTTCTAGGTTCTGGTGTCGATTATTGTTTATATACATTGGATCTGACCTCCAAATGTTCAATCAATATTCAGAAACAGTCACTTGACCTCTTCTTCAAATATTTTTGTATTTGTTGGCCCCTTGTTCTTTTATTTAGCAAACAAAGGTTGCCTGACTTGGGCATAAACTTACTCAAGCTAGATTATTTGACACGGGTTATAAAACTCACATAAATAGTTTTTCTTTTTTATTTTTTATAATTTGAATGTAATTAGTGATATCAAGCAAGTCAATTGGGTGTCAAGGATTCAAGTCTTGCCACATGAGAAACTCTTCCTTCCCCCAGGCTATGGCCTCTGATGTACAAAAAAAAATTGAAAAATAAAAATAAAAAAAATCAAATGTTTCTTCAAACTCTTGAATGTGGTTTAGTTGACATGAAGGCTGATTTTAGCTTTTGGATTACAGGGCCGCTTGTTAAAAAGCATGACCTAATGTCGATCCTGTCAATGAAGTAGGTACACATTTAACCTACAAAGTGGTTCCCTTATTTGCACATCACAATGCTACACAATGAATGATTTTTTTAATTACGATTGTATCCCTCAAGGAAATTGCCATCAAGGACAAAAGGTACACACCTTCCTCCCACCCCGCACTGCTGGCCACCACCCACACTGGCCCCTCCCATAACCGACCACTACTAACCCCCACCATCACAAACTTCCCACCACCTCTGCCGCAAACCCCCATACACCACCATTGCCAGTTGTTCGGACTAAGTGGTTGGAGCGCAAAGATCAACCATTAAACATTGTTCGAAAATTGACCACTGAAAGGTGGTGTTTGCAATCTGATTTCGCCATTGTGTGGCGGTGGGAGAGGGTTAATGGCAGCAGGGAAAGGGTTGGTGATTGGCAGGAGTCGTGGCAGTAAGGTGATAGTGGTTGATGGTGGTGGTAGTGGCCACAATTTGGGGGTAGCTAAACCGTGAGTTTTCATTCAGAGTTTCTAAGACTAAAGATAGGGTAGCTAAATCATGAGTTTTCATTCAGAAGTTGATCACCAAACCATATAGTTTTGTTTCGTAATTAATATCTAAACAAAAATGTGTGAACTGAGAAAAGATGGTGCCTGAAAATAGAACCGCCTTGTGTGTATAAATGAATGGTGGGAACGGATAGGAAGGGTGGTGTGCATATAAAAGCTCGGGAGCTTCTATTTCTATACACCGCATTATCTCAGTTTATACACTTATTTCTGAATCTTTGGTTCAGAAATTGATTTTCGAACAAAACTCATTGGTTAACTTCCAAACTAATGAATTTTATTGAGAAATCAACTACCGAATTAAAGATACAATTGAACCAAATAATTTTGTTTAGATGTTGATTTCCGAACTAAATAGTTTTATTGGAAAATCGAATGATTTTTAAACCAAAAAGATAAGTGTTGTGTGTGGAAATAGAAGTTCTCACGCTTGTGTGTAGTGTGGACTTGCAATGTCAAAATTACCCTTCATTATATAGTGGTGTACAAAGGTTATCTATCAGTTGTCATTTACCCACCCATGGATTAAAAGTAGAGAGTGCTGCTTCCTACATAATTTTGTGAGTTTATTATTTTTCTAGTGATAATTGTTTCACTTTCATATGATTAGTTTAAAGTTCTATCAAACCTAACCCAACTCCTCCTTTTTGACTCTTAATGGGAATCCGATTCAATTTCTTTTATTTTCTTTCTTTTCCTAAAAAGATGTGTTTTCAGCCACAGAGCCACACGGTCGGTCCATGTCTTTTCCAATTCTGTTTTGGAAACTTTATGTATATCAATATATATTGGTTTGCTTTTTCTTTTTTGGTCATGCTGATCTAAGTGACGCCAGTAATAATAGTTCCGATCTACAGAAAATCAAGCATTTTAATATTGTTTGCATGCATGAAACCTTTATAAATTTTGTGCATAAAGTCCGGTGATTTGTATTTTTGTCTCCTGTGGACCATATTTGGATTAGATAAAAATAATTCTGAAACTGTCATTTTCACTACCATGGTGTATGGCCTTCAGTGCAGAAATTTTCGTGTAAAACACAGAGTGAGTAGGGTTAGGCTATTTCTTTGATTGCATTGCTGATTATTAGGCTGATGGATCAATTTGTATGAACAATATAAACTTGATAGAATTTGATGGGTCATGGGGTCGATCATGAGTATTGTTTTGATGATACAAACTGTAGGACTTTTTGTGTATATCATTTATGAAAAAAATTATATCGATTTGATAAACATAACTTTTTCATTTCATTGTGTTTGTCTCCAAAAAATAAATGGTCTATTTTCAAAAACAGGCTTATTGTCTATTTTTTTGAAGATAAACAGGATAAAATGAAAAATTACAGATTATCTAATCGACCATAGTTTTTTTTTATGAATGATATATCCTGAACGGGTCTCTCAAGTTCTCTCTAGTTTAGACAAGCCCAACCCTTTTATGAAAGACAATGCTTGTTTCTAGTCCTTATAGAGCCCATTTTCAAAATTCAACCTTATTGTATACTTTTTAAAAAAATAAATATGATGAAATTATGTGTTTACCATTATCGGATCAATTTGAAGGAAAAAAAATCATACGATCTACACGGATGAGTCTAAAATGGATTGGATCATCAAAGTGGAGCTCGGGTGGGCTCACAAGCCCAGACTAGATGGTTCAATCTTCTTTGTAGCAATAGAGATAAAAAAAATAAAAAATAAAAAAAAAATTGTATCCTTTGGTATGACGAAAAACGAAAATTGACAGAAAATGTTTTTTTTGGTCAACAAAAAAGGTTCATTGAGGTGAAAAATATTTTACTTTTGTAAAATGTAAACTATTTTTTGAATTAAAATCTTACACAAAGATAGGAAAATGCTAAAAAACAAATTAGAATCTAAAGTTGCTTTTGCATTATATATATATATATATATATATAGAGAGAGAGAGAGAGAGAGAGAGAGAGAGAGATTTGAAATGAATGATTTTGGTCTTAACAATTTAAGGAGCATAGCTTTTAATTCAATGTAATATTTTATATTTAGATATCAAAAATGGATTAGAGTTTTATATTGATGGTTGTCGAATAACTTTGTTTAAATAATTATTTGAAATCGTATCATAAAATATTTTACTTGTATAATAATATTAATAAAATACATGTCGTGACAGTACTGTATGAAGAATCAAACTTGTCTCTTCGTTCACATTTATTTCTAAAAAATATAAAGGACAAGTATGATTTCAAACATATATTTTTCATATAAACTAACCATGTTACTATTAATAATATCCAATCAACTTAATTTTTGAACGTAAATTTTGTTTAACAAGCCTTACAAAGTTGGCCCACAACTATGAAAACTTGGTCCTCCAATTTAAAATTTGTGGACGAAGAGACAAGTTTGATTCTTTATAAAATTCAAACACAAATTATTTCATTTGAAATTCACACTTAAAGAGAGTCTAAAAAATATTATATATAGAGAGTCTAAAAAATATATTATATATATATATATATTTCAATTCAAAGAATTTTCATTCATTTTAATTTTAATTTGTTTAATTTAAATACTTGCAGGGTACTCGTGGGGGGATACAGCCCCTCGTGACAGTACTGAATAACAAAATTGAATGCTTCATAAATGAATCAGACATATGCATATATCATACATGTCTAAAATGTCACTAATCGGTGTGTTTGGTTTAAATTTTTTAGATTAAATTTTTTAAAAATTGAGTTTTTTTATTTTCGTATTTTTTTATTTTTAGTGAATATTTTTAAAAAATTTTACATTTTTTTACTTTTTTAGATGCACCTTACTTAGAAGTATCTAAAAAATAAAAAATTTGTAAAATAATATTTTTAAAAAATTAATAAATACATAAAAATATAAAAAATGTACTGAATTCTCATATTTTTTTTTTGTATTTTTGGTATTTAGTGAATTTTTAAAAGATTTTTTTTACAAATTTTTTACTTTTTAGGTATATTTATGTTAGGTATGTCTAAAAATTTAAAAAATTTACTTAAAATATTTAAAAAATCCAGTAAAAACAAAAAAAATATAGAAAAAAAAGTAAAATTTTTAAAAAAAAATTGTTAAAAAACTGTAACCAAGCAAAGTGAGTAATCAAAACACGAGGACAAGTATGGCATGTCCTATTATACATCATCATCATCTTCTTCATATCTGATATATATCACTCAGAAGGACAGTGATCCCTTCAGACTTCCTTGAGCTTCCTCCCCCACACCCCCTTAAAAAATAAAATAAAATAAAAACTAGGATTACTGGGCATTGAGAAGACTCATGTACTAGTATTTTTAACGACAATGCTACGTAATTCAAATTTTGTGACTCAAAAGTGGCTCAAATGGCCAAAACGACGTCGTTTTGAGTACAGAACAACATAAAAATGGCTAAAATGACGTCGTTTTGGCTATTTGAGCCACTTTTGAGCCACAAAATTTGAGTTACGAGACATTTTCCTATTTTTAATTGAAAGATAAATTATAAGTACAACCATTGACATTTATTTAAAATATAAATTGTTTTTTTATAATTATAAAAATTGTATAATTTTTAATCGCATAACAAATAATTATTTTTATTAATAAATTATTATGTTAATTGATATTAATTAACAATTTATGTAATTTTATTGTTGTACAAGTGAGTAATTATGAATTTTATTTTTTTTGCTAATTCTGGTAAATAAATTTTTTTGACAATGGTGTATTTATAATTTTCAAAATTATAGAAGATAATCCATATTTTAAGTAAATTTCAAAAGGTGTATTTGTAATATATCCTTAATTTAATGATGGATTTAGGAAATTATTTCGGTAAAAAAAAAAAAAAAGAAGATAAAATAGAAATGTCAATTATATAGAAACTAACTTTTTAACATTTTTCTTCTCTCTCTTCACAATTCTTTTCACACATTTATCAGCCTTGTGGTAGCAAATTCGAATTATGGGAATCAACTTCCCCATAAAAATGTTGGGATATTGCCATATTGGGCTTTTTCAAAAAAAAAGAAACTATAAAAAAAAATTAAAAAAAAATATTTTAAAAATCTCACCCAGCTTGTAGTTAATGGATTTTTTTTTTTTTTGAATTTATATAAGGGTAAATTATACATTGCCCCCTTTATGTT